AAACATAAATTTATGGACGATTAACCTTGTGGTGGTTTAAGAATATCCACTACCCCATATCATCCAGTGGGTGTCGTAAGATATAACAGAGAAACTGAAACAAGAGATGGGTAGCAGCAAAAACATTCAATAAAAAAAGCTGCCTTTCTAGGAAAGTCCTAGTCCCCAGCAACCCCACTGTTCTTGATTCTGGTGGCAGTCATGTAAATGGCGGAGCAGGGGGTGCGATGGTTTGGTTGCCACCCACGACGATCAGCCTGTTGACGTATAACGCACGCATATTAAAGCCAGACGAGAAGATTCTAAAGCCTGAGGGGAGATAGACGAGTTACACAGGGATGTTATAGGTTTATCTGAAGTCCAAAGGCAGGGGGAAGACACAGTAATTTTTCCATCCGATAATTTACTCTATCACGGAAAGGCCACCTATCTATCTCCAGGAGGTGTGGATTTATCGTTTCAAGAGCAAGTCACATACGAAACTGTTCTGTTCCGATTATAATCTTCTTTAGCAAAGTAAGAACGGCAAAGCGCTGAGTAAGAATGAAATTACAGCAAGACTTCTGTAAGCGGGTGATAAACCGATAAAGTCCTTGTGAAGCTACTCATTTCCGTAGTTCATAGTTGTGCTAGGCCAGAAATGTTGAGCAGAAATGTGGTAGTTTGATTCGCTAAGAAAGGTGCTTAACCCCTATGAAGTAACTAAAGGCAGATTTTTCTTATGTGGCGCGTCTACGTACGAATCGTCTTTTAGGCAGACTCGATGATTTCGTCTACCGATACAAGCCAGTTTCCAAAATTGCTTTAGTGCCATAAACCACATACCCTTCGGCTAATTGTACAGAAGACCGAGGAGTATAATCTACCACTTTGTGTTGCATATGCGGACTGTGAGAAAGCCTTAATTTAGTCGAAATTTGGGCGGTGCTAGGTAGAATTCCTTCAGTGGTACCAAGTTGTCTGTCGGTATGTCAAAGTGCAGAACTGTTTGTACAATAGGGCTACTGTTTCTATCCGAGTACAGAACCAGTGTACGAAACCTATCCAACTCCAGAGGTGTAAGACAAGGTGACGTTATATCCCCGAAACTCTTCACTGCATTAGAAGACGTTTTCAAGCTACTAGACTGCAAAGGATACGAGATTACCATTAATAACGAGTACATCACTCACCTTCGATTTGCCGCCGATATAATCATTAGGACATAATCCCTGGAGGACCTTAGCACTATGCTCAACGACGTCAGTAATGTTTCTCCATGCGTAGCTCTTAAATTGCACGTAGGTCACTCAATAAGTTTTGAGATGCTCGAAATTTAAAAATGGAACGTACCCGTGTTATATGTTTCTAAAAAAACAAATTTATTTAGAAATAGAACTCCATAAGCCAATTGCTCAATATAAAAAAAAAACAAAGTTCTATTAATTTTCCTGCAACGCTTCCCGCGCTTTTCATTTAAAACGATGGATCTTAACCGTGAACATTTGCGCGCAATGGTATATTATAATTTTAAATTTGGTTTAACCGAACAATTAAGCTTACAACGGTTACAATCAGCATTAGGGGACTCGGCTCCATCACGCGCAACAATTTTAGGTGGTTTGCTGAATTCAAAACGGTAACATTAATCTTAAAGTAGACCAAAGAACCGGGGCCCCGCAAACAGCAGTAACGGCAGAAAATGTATGGACTACTGAAATGTTGACCAACGAATCACATATACGGACATCGAAAAGATTGTAGGCATTAGTTCGGGAAGCATTTATACCATCCTACATCAACATCTTGGAGTGAGGAAGCTTTGTTGTCGATGGATCCCTCGGTTGCTCTCCGAAAGCTAAAAACACTCGTGTGGATTGGTGGATGTCGTCAAAAAAATGGTGGCTAGTTTTTTTCGCGGAGCGGACATTTGTCACGTCAATGCTGGAAAATTGTAGATTTTAGCTGCTATTTTACGCTGGTATTCTGTGAGAGCGTGTTCCCTTCCCCGGTCGAGCCGAACGATTCGTGCTACAACTATACTACTAATATAGCTGCAGCATGGCTCTACCACGTATAGTTGTTGGGTACAATATGCTGGATGTTTTTAACGAATATGTGTGTATCTGGGACAAAATCTCCGATTAGATAAGTTCAACATCTACCAAGAGGTCAAACAACGATTCTAACTAGGCTGGGTTGCGTTCGCGAAACTGCGATAATTTCTTGTGCAGAAATATCAACGACATTGAGACAAGAGTGCAGCAAACAGTCTAAAAGATTTTTAAAAGTAACATGCCAATACTAACCGTGAGGTGGCGGTGTTAAATGTATAGTGACAGTATAAAGAATATCCACAATCACATATCATCCTTGCCCGAAAACATAAGAAGAGCGCCAAGTAAGGACTGTTTTAAATAGTTGGTACATGACTTTTTTTTGACACGAAGTGATGTTGGATGTTAAGAATGATGATGATATATTTTGACACATTTAGATGTTTTATTATTTGTAATCTCAATATATGTGTTTTATTATTATATGTAAAGTATATATTATATTTGTTTATTTATATATAAAAATTACGTGTCACATTGTTTGTCCGCTATGTACTCCTAAACTACTGAACTGATTTCAATGAAATTTTTCAAACTGTGTACAGTTTGGTCCAACTTGAGAGATAGGATAATTTTTATCCCGATAAGTGACTCTCAATATTTTGTACAGAGGAAAACAGAAATAGAAAATATACAGCATCATCTTCCTAATTACAGCACAAAATTATAAAAACAGTGGTTGCCTACCCGCATGCCAAGCGCGAAAATTATAGCAAATTCCCCCCCATGACGCAATATATGGGAGAGGCCAACGTTCAGAAGCGAACTGTTTTAGATTGTAATAGATGAAATGAATGGGACATGCCAATAAGTATAAAACCTAGGGTTTGACATACGGATGCCAATCGTGAAAACTTACGGCCAAAGCAAAACACAAAATCAACAATTGCCAGCTAAGACTAGAACGTAGCAATTTCATCATTCCACGTCGCCACTGTGCGATTAACTACAAGTTAACTTCCTCGCACAACTTCCTTGTGGAATCTACTACCACCAGCGATTATTCCGGACCGATACGACTTAAGGACCTTCAAGAACAGAGCCTACTCTTTTTCAAAAGACTGGCAACGCATCTGCAATTCCCCTGGTGTTGCAGTTGTTCATTGGCAGCGGAAAAAAAACTTAAAATAGAGAAGGCTACAAGTGCGTTGTCACATCTGAGGACTAAGATGGAACGCCTTACAGCCTCTAATTATACTGGCTCTCAATACTTTTAACTCCGGAACGCAGCAGTAATAGTAGGTAATGCTACTTGGTGGCAGGAATAAGTAAGATGGTGGTACCTAACCAGACACACTCCTACGAAAAAAGGATCTAAACTATTGTAAATGTCATACCTACAAACACTGAATCTGAAAACATATTTTTGGAAGGGTGCAATAGATAGATAACTTATATAATATTAATAGCTGGTACTCGACGCGTTGCTTCCGCAGAAGAAATAATTGTGGAAATATCGTTTTAAATTTAGAAGTTATATTGTTTAATTAGGAATCATAATACATCCACGGAAATTGAATGATTTAACTTTCAAATAAATTTTTCGGTACGATACGCGCGCTACCTACTGTAAATTAATTGCACTATGCTTATAACCTCCGCGCAAGTGCAAGCAATAAGTTGACAAAGTTTTGCCACAGTCTAATGAACGGTATGGCAGCGCATAAAATACGAACAAACAAAAATTATTTTTTCTATATTAGATTATTTAAAATACAAGTATGGCACGGAAGTTTTAACATATTATAAAACGTTAAATAAAAAACATTTTTAAAGAGTTATATACATAATCTAAATTTAAAAATTTTGTACAACCAACTTCAATATAAATTATTAAGAATAACTCAAAAACTATTGGTTAGACCTTGATCAAATTTATATGGGACCACATGTTGCATTGCACATAAAAAAAATCAGTCATATTGAGTACCATCTCCTTTTTGAAGTCAGTAGAAAAGTATCCTTGTCTCTATTTATATCGAGTAATATTTTACAACCCGTATTGTTTTGTGAGTACATTCTTAATTACATAAGTACTTTGTATTTTAGAGTCTAATGAGGGCCAATAATCTTACGCTCACCAGATGTCGCTAGTTGGGACAAAGGTAAACTTATTTGTTACACAGATGGTCACAGGTCATCATAAATGAAAAGTTGCAATTTAGTTATAATTTTTTCAGTTTCTGGTGTACACACACAAACAATACCAGAACATACACCACTATATACACAAATCAATGCCTCAGTTTTAGGAATATCCGTACTTAAGTATATTTATTTCTAATCTAATTCATATAAAATATTACTAACATTTCAGAAAGAAACATTGATCTCTACACTTGTCTAACAATTTAAATTCCGCTGCTATGAAATCTGTCGGATATTTCACCTTATTCGTAGAGCTAAGAAAGCACGAAAAAGAGCCAAAACAATAAAAACCAGTCATTTCAGTTATTGAGGTATCTGCCTTTATTTTGAAAAGGAGGCGATTTACTATTACGGATAGACTTATTTCATAGTATTTATATTTTTACATGGAAAATTTCATCACATTAAACATTAAACCTAGGCCTTTTCACAGTATTCATATCATATCAACAGTGATTCAACAATAATTATGTCCTTTCAGAAAAATACAACCATGCTGCATAATCTTAATTTATCAAAGACGCTCGCCACGGCACCAGACAGTGATTTAAAAAACTCTTATAAATAATATACAAAATAATACAAACATTAGTTTACTTCTTGACAAAAGAATGAGATTTAACATTATCATAACATTAAATTCCGTTGGGGAAAATTCGTGATTATTTAAAACATTTACAATGCAATTCGATTCTTTACAGAAAAATAAATATACAAATATATGACTACACAACCGGTGATTGCTTATACGGTAGTTCAGCATTTCTCATCTGCTAGGAGAGGGTCCAGAGGAAAACCTAAATCTAACACTGCCGCTGATGGCCGTTTGGAGCTCTTTATTGAACTAGATCTAGGTTTCCTCTCCACATGTGCTAAATGCCCGTTTAGCGTATGCCTCATTTCTACACTCCCAAACAGATCACTCAATGTCTGCTGCACATCTTTCCCCCCACTAGTAGCACTGCACGTCACTATAAGTTTACGCACTTCAGGCTTATTAGATTTACTTGAGTTGTTCATATGCATAGACTTTGATAAAGACAATGCATTTGGGTAGTAGTAATTGTTTGCTGAACTGCTTGACTTGCACGACCGTGTGAGGGATGACTTGATATTACTTCGGACTGTTGCAAATTTTTTTCCTAATGTGATGGCACCTCCCGCATGTGACGCATTGAAGGTACACAATGCAAGAGGCCTTGGACATGATGAATACCAACATACATCGGTCGGAACTAATGGTGGAGGACCTTCAGGTTTTTCGTCTACTTTTGCAGGGGGCACAGGGTCGACCGGCGATGCTATACTAATAATGGGAACATCAGTTGGAATATCTGCATCATCAGGAAGCAGAAAGGGCCCCGGCGGCAATGGTTGACTTAGTAGTGAGGTTATACTTGATGTGTCGGGGAGTACAGAGTTAGGGTCTTCGACATTGAGCAAGCTTGCATATATATCATTGACCTGCTGTTCAGTGGTAAGCCCATTAAAAGCACTGAGATCTATATTTGTGTCAAGGAGTGGTGGGAGATTGAGTGGCGTAGGAGGTGCTGGCTGTACTGTAGGTACATGGAGAGATACAGGCGCAGAAGTAGAAGTAGCTGCACTAGCATCTCTTGAAGCTCTATGTTCTGCTAAAAGGGTATCAAAGGGCTTCGACCTTCCTTCCACAGTTCGCCGCAATGATAATGCATGAGCTTTACATGTCAAGGACCTTGTGCAAGGCTTAGGGTTCTCTGCAGTTACCACACCACAGTGTTTGTTCGGATCATATTCTCGCAAGTTAAACTTGGATTTACTTGTTTTTGATCTTGAATGCGACTTAGTCGATGGTGTACTAGGTGTCACCGGTTTTAAAGCTTGAGCATTGAGTACATTTGTATCTATCACAGATGATAGCATTGGAGATGTGTTATTTGCAAATTGTAAACTTGATAAATCAGTATCAGCTATTGTATAAAGAGAGTTTGCATCTACAGCAGTATATAAGTCTTGTGATTGCACAGTATCGGTGGTTTGGGGAAAATTAATCTCCTGCATGTTTCCTATATCTCTTATAATATTCTTCCAGTCAGCAGCATTTGTGATGTCATCGGCGCTTTGAATTCCTTCAGAATTCATTATTGCAAATATGTCATCTGTAATGTTCTCACCGAGGGGCAAGTCCTCTGTGTCCTGTATACTGACAACTGGTAACTCTCCACTCTCCATGCTCACTTGTACTTCACTTGTTACAGCTGCCGATGTACTTGCCTCATCCACATATTGCATTTCCGGCTGTGGCAGCACTATCCTAGATAGTGGGGTTGCTGCATTATGTGCTGGGGATGTTTCCATTTTCACTGGGAGAAAATCTACAGGAATAGGCGGCGGTGGTACCTCCTTTTTATGCCTGCTCCTGCTGGGCACTGATTTCAGCTTAACAGTGGGAGCTGGGGGCGGTGGAGGGAGAATAGGCTCACATCCTGTGTGGGACTCCAGTAAATGTCTATATGCTGCACTACACTTCACTACCACTCCACACATGTGACACACAGCTGCATTTAAATTGTCCATCTGTGGAAAGAGTCCATGGAGGCTCATGCTCTCATACTTGAGGCGGTTGAGGCCCGCGCGTCTATACCTCGCCTGTCCTCTATCCGCCAATTTATATGGATGAGAGTCGTGCACTCGCCGCACGGACGCGACACCCTTCGCGTCCACGGCCGCTGGTGTCGTAAACACTCCGCCGTCATCGTCACGACGTGGCGAAATATGCCCTATTTCACTAACCCATAGATCCCAAGGTTTCTCATTGCACTTGACAGGACTGACTATCTTCGCCGTAAAGGGAAACTCACCGGACATATTTCGATGTTTGCTAATGTTTCGATCAAGAAATTTGGAAAGCGTGTCCTCAAGGGACACCAGCCATAGCGAACGTCTTGCTTCTTTGATAGGTTATTATCCCATTTCTGCCTTTACGTCGGAGCTCGGCAGACGCGGCTTCGGGGTCACATCGTACCGTGGTTGTTCACTTCATTATTTACACACATAAAATAGAAATGTGTTATGGTTGTTTTAGCTTTTATATATACACAGACAGATGATCTAGTTCACTGACAGCTGATTATGCAGGTTGTAAGTTTTTCTTCACCACGGTACACTTCCATCTGTCGACAAACCTTTCTACATTGTTTTTCGGGCCCAAACTGATGTAAAGCTATGTTTGTTGACTTAATTTTATGTTATACTGTACTTGTTACACTCATATAAAATGTCTAAAATTTCTGTTTGGTTGGTGATGGTTTTGATTTACTACAGAAAGCATCAACACTTTTTTGAGTATTTTGTAATAAAGCAGACTGAATCTGAATTACTATAATCTATGGTCATTCATTTCTTTGAGTGACGTGACAACACCGCGACAATGACAAACAGTGTTGCCTTATATACGGAACTAGTGGCAAAACGTAGTGGTTATATTCTCTTTGCTAGTGGCAGTAACATTCAATATAAGAAAGAAAAAATAGCAAATGTAGATCACATTTCGTTTGATAATTTAACTAACTTTTATTTTTTTTTAACTAAAACTTATAGGAATACTAATAGGGGAATGTTATTTCACTTCTAAGATACACTATAGAATACGAGTGGATAATACTCTTATAATAATGTGTTTATAAATCTTCCACTCACATAGATGTCTCTTGTTCACACTGAGGTGAAGTGTTTTGTTACACAATATCATTTAATTGAGAAAAAAGTTGTAAATTAAAGTTTATCAGTTTCTAGAGTATTATATTAATACACAAAAAACCTCTTTCATTTTTGGCACATTTTTAACTCCTTTTCAATTTTTCTACTTTCATGAATATCTGCGGTTACGTTTATTTATTTTTAGACTAATTAATATAAAATATAACTAATAGTCGAGAAAGAAACATTTTATTTTTCTAACAAATTAACTTCCCCGCTATTAACTTTGTGTATGAAAAATTACGCATAATGCAGTGTTCTGACAATATTTTTTTAAAGGTTCATTTTGGTACAAATAGATTTATAAAACGATGACTATTAAATAAACATAAAAATTTAATTAGGTTACTGCCGCTTAAAAAGGTTCAATCTATATTACATAGCTGTCTTTTTGTTAGCGATCAAAATATTTATCCTAATCACAGAATAGGTAATAGTACAAGTAGGTACAGAAGAATGACTCTCTGGTATCAAACTTGTTAATTCAAACCTAGTTACAACGGCTCTAATGTTCATAATACTTTGCACGCCTCGGATACGACCTTCGTTAAAATAGCCTACTGATTGTTGCAGCGCGCCTATTAAATCAATATGCACCTTACGTCCGGGTGCGAGAGTCTGTATCACTTAGCCCGTTACGCGCCTCTATTAAGGCTACTCATATTGTAGAGTTAGGTGTTGTGAGAAATATATAGATAGTAGAAAACCCCCGAGGTAATGATTAGTAATTTGATGATAATAAGAACATTATTGTTCTATGTGAAGTAGGTTAAAGATATTTCCTAATACTACTATTTACTTATACTTTATTACTATTACGTGCTGTGTGATACCGGTAGAATAGGTACTCAGCACCCCATGTCTGCCTGCAAGTTTTGTAAAAGGCAATACTGATTATATTTTTAGATAATCTATCCACCAATCCGCATTGAGACATGTGATGGACTACTGTTCAAACCTCCTCTGTATAACGAGAGCCCTGTGTCCCAGCAGTGGGTCAATATTTAGGCTGATGAGGATGATGAAGTTACGTTATTTTTAATTAAAATTGACAACAGTTTCAGATTGCTAAAGTAGATATATAATTTGTAAGTACATGAAAAAACGGTACATGCCCAGAATCGTAGGTTATAAGACTTTTAACATTAGCATATAAAAAAATCTAAAACTGCTTAGCTGTGATCGGGTCGATAGTCAAATAATAAATCTGTAACTATGACGCCAGTAACTAGATACCTAATTATCTAGATCTACCTATAAATAATAGTATCTTACCTTTGATATCCTTAGGAGGAGTAAAGAATGAAAAGTCGACATTGCTGTTGTTATTTATGCACCCGTTTGCTATGCACTACCTTTTGGCTTTTTGAGTGGCCATACTTGAATAAAAACTCAAAACTGAATATAAAAAGTGCCCAAATACTTACAAAAGAAAAATACTTTTTTGTTAACGTAAGGCGCGCGTCTCGCATCGAACGCGCGCGTGGCAACATCACTAAATTAGCGTGTTGTAGGCGGCCGCGCACCGTAGGTATATTTTCATGCTTCAAACGCGGTGTGAAATAGGCCTGTACTAATATCAATATATTTTTGAATGACAGCACACAATAAATGAACCAAATAGTTGCTGCATAGCGATTGATGGAATAGGTGTTCATGAAGATAAAATTATATTTTCCTATGAACAATTTCTAGATCTCAAGTAAACTAAGAGTCATTCATTTGAAGTGCATAATGCCATTCTTTTTGAAAGATATGTTGTTTTTAAACTAGTGGGATGCGGGAAGTAATGGCTGTGTAAGAACCTCTGAAGGAGGCGGAGTTATAGCCGAAATAAGAATTTTAAAGTTTTTGGTTTTTGACCATTTTGACCCTCTAGAAGAGTAATGAGAACTTTTTGCCCCTATGCAACCATGACCCCCATGACATCTTCTACATGTTAGGCTATTCAAACGGATTATGCCTAAAGTTCGAGCCACCCCTACTCATTTCTAAATTTTTTACTTCCAATTACTTCCAAATAATTGCTTCCGCTTTTATACAAATGTCTATTACGTCATTTGATGGATATATAAAACCACCTCTATCTTTCATTATAATAATTATATGAAAATGATTTGTTTCTTCCGATACGAGTACACTTTGACATTCCTCACAAGAAAGTGTCTGTAGCAAAAATCTGATTACATAGCCAGCTATGTAGGAAATCACTTGTTTTGATGGCTCGAATAGAAGAGTCTCAGGTAACGCCAAATCATTTCCATAATCAACTATAAACTGCAAACCTGTCATATCAAAGCAAGGGACATACAGAACTTCTAATGTTGGGCTCCCGGTTGAGTCTTTTATCTCTATCACTCGCTTATTTGTTGATTCACGGCTTTTCGGAAAACTGAAATTAGATAAGTATTTAACGGCATTAAATTTGTTATGTTCTTGTGTAACAAAGCTATTAAATGTTTTATTTTATGATCCATATGGGTAAGGAATACAAAGGATCTTTACTTCTAATACTAAGGATCTTTACTTATAATAGTCATTTTGTTAAAATCAGTGTTATCTTATTGAAATATTTCAAACCGATGAAAATAAATATCATAGTTCTTCTTATTTTGCTTCCGTGAATCGTTTCACCATGATAACTAAATTCTGTTAAATATTTTCGAGAGAAATAATTAACACACGTGACCTTTCGTGACTAATAACGTCATTCTGGCCATTTCGAGACTGTTCTAACGCGTGTTTACAGTTCTGACTTGTTTACACGCGCATTATAGTCACAAACTAATAAGAAGTGCTAGCGCAACTATAGTTTACTTATAAATACTCTAAGTCTCTAAGTAATTACCATACACTTTGGTAGACGGAGATTACTTGCAAACTTGCAATGCATGCCCATAGGTAGCAAAAAGGTATGTTCGCTATAAGATTAAGATTCGAATAAAGATTTAAATACTTAGGTCGTAGTGTTTTTAGAATGATCATAACAACACGATAATTCTAAAAATACCATGACATAAGTGTTTAAAGCTTTTTTTTCTTTATCGATCATTACTCCCTTTGAAAGAAGCTAATGGTCAAAACAGGTGTCCTACTCTAGGACGAAGGCGCGCGTGCACTTGCGCCGTTGCCTTTGAAGAACGCCGCGTGCCTCTTGCCGCTTGTTTATGGACGGCGCCAAAAGACACCGCTGTCGACACGTCGTAATAGTTTGCACTGCGGGCAACGTCGCTTTTTAATGTTCAAGGATTCAAGTTCATTGAATCATTGACTTAGTGACCAAATTCTGTAGAGATTTCAAATTTGCTTAAAATTAAAACTCTACTTGTTGACCTAATTACTGGACCGATTACCTTCATTTTTGTATATCGTCAGCAAAGGCGATAACAAGTATGTGGTTTCTTTTATTGAATATATGTGGACCCAGTCTGTATAATTGAGTTTTCACTTCTGTCGGCAGGCCTTATGGCTGCCTCTGTTTAATTTATTTATTTTATTTAACTTTTTTTCTATTATTATCTAATTTATTATAATGAATTACTAACAATAGGCTATGTTATCACCTAATTACAATAATTATGTAATATGATCCTTGTTGTTCGAAATAAAAAAAATATTATGATTATTATTATGCCGGTAGTTGCTGGGAGTACTAAGCTCGAAGTTGTTGACGAGTATGTTTACTTGGGACAAATATTCCAACTAGGTCTAGTTGTCCCAAGGTCCCCTAAGTCTAGGACAAAGCTAAACTTTTTAGCTTTTTTGTTTAAATGTGTTCTTGTAGATTTAGAGATAGTAAATTATTTTGACATGATAAAAACCCATAAAAACAACCGATTCAAAAAGTCATACTTACTTCGCGTTTCCTAGGAAGTCACAAAACGGTAGTTTTGTAAATTCAATTGTACCAGAATAAACTTTTTTAACAATCAATAATTTGTCAATTGTTATCAAATCAAAAATCAAAATTACTTGTATTCAAATGTCTTGTAGTAGGTAAGTAAGTGTAAAGAGAAAAGTATCGATAAACGATAATTGCACCTTGTGCCCGCCCTATTTATTACTTTTATTATTTTCGCCATTTTGGAATTTGGAAGTTTGGCTTTCAT